AAAGGCTTATTTTTGTAACTCATTCATAGTAAACAATTAACAGAAAATGTCAACGCCTAGCCGAAAAAAGGAAATGTTCTTGCAAATCCATTATTTAAATAGTAACCTGCTAATATGAAAGGGCACTTTAATGCAAAAAAGCAATGGCATTGCTTTGGAAAAATACATGAAAGTATAATAATGGCCTGGTTTCTCACCACATATGCACTCAAGAAAGTATTACAAATAAAAACAAGAACTGACATTTTGAAGTAGCGCAATTAGTACATTCTGAAACACATGACAATGGGTACATTCTGAAAACACATGACCCGAGGAAAAACCCACATTTCTGAAACATGCAAATCAAGCAAAAAGCATGAGCAAAGGAAGTGCAAGACAGTTGTATCGATGAAAGTCCAGTATGAATGCTGTAAAAGTGCACAATGGTCCATGGCAACAGCTCACTCAAACAGTTTGTTTATAAGCGCTTGGGCTTTCTTGGAGAGCATGTTGCCGTCTAGCTCCATTAACATTAGCTGGAGCACTTCGAACGTGCACTTCAGTTTAGGGGGGTAGTTCAAGTTTATTGCATACATTAGTCCAAACAGCATGGTAGCAGCTAATGCAATGTTGTCCACATCAGTTACTACCTGTTGGCCTTCCAGGAAAATCTGTCCTCTGGTCTCATCTGTCCTCTGGTCTCATCTATCCTCTGGTCTCATCTGTCCTCTGGTCTCATGGTGGAATTGTGTTTGACAACATAAAGTCCCACTGTAATCCCCTGAATGGACCGCAGAATGACGTCTTCATCTTCTGCCTGTGCACAGTCACAAAAGGAACAGAGTGAGATCTAACAAATCAATACATACAGTATATATACCCATTACTAAGTCCCTGTGTTTAACAAGTACATTTGGTCAGATTTCAGTACTTTTAAGCCTCCTTGTTATCTGATATACTCCTGTCTGACCTGATTAAAAAAATGTTTCATTTCCTGTATCCGTTTTAAATTAAAAGCCCTCTAGCTTTTCAGTGTAGTCTGGCTATTAAACAAAAAACAGGGATGTTCACATACTTTAGGCTATATACTATGTGGTGTTTCAATAAATACATATTTTAACGCCCAACAAAAAAATCAAAAGGTCAAATATTACTTCTACTGACCACAAACTCTAGATTCTCATTGAGGTGCACACACAGCCCCTTGAAAAGACAATCCGGGTCTAAATTGACATCATCAACCTAAGTGAAGGGGAATAAGAAAAGAAAGAATCTATTTTGCTCAATGAAATGTGTACACTATTGACTCGATGTATAATTTCCTTAAAATGAATTCTTACTTGAGTCATGTTTGACATAATACAGTTCAGACGCTGGCCTATCTGCCCTCCTCTCTTCCCAAAAACCTTCAGAAGTTTGTCAGATAGCACATCCAGCTGAGAGAGAAATCTTGATTGGAGGGGCAGGGTTGTTATGCGCTTAAACTCCGCATTTATCAAAGAAAACAAAATATCACACTCATAAAAAACATGAAATCATTTAATTTTCTAATGATGTTATGATTGTAGTTGTGTCCTTGCCTCAAAACGATGCTGAGAAACTAGTCCATGCATTTGTTAATTCAAGGCTAGCTTATTGTAACTCTTTATTATCAGGGTGTACCAAAAACTCAGTTAAGTTGCTTCAGCTGATTCAAAATGTATTGACCAGAGCACGA